TGTTTCTCTTTTTTGGTTGCTGAGTAATATTCCATTGTATATATGTACCACATCTTTTTAATCCAGTCATCTACTTTTGGGCATTTGAGCTGCTTTCATGTTTTTCCAATTGTAAATAAAGCAGCAATAAACATGGGGGAAGCCAGCGCACATTTTAGTAAGTTTGCCCATCCATATGTAAAGCATTATTTGATAATAAACACATAGCAATGGAGTCAAATTCAAATTGAGTGCGAGTAAGTAGACAAGGAACAGATGTGGAACCACCCCTCACTGTCCTCTTCTCACCTGCAAATTATTTTCTGGGAGTGTAAGGGGGAAAGGAGTTTGTCCTGAATGAACTCTACACATACAGGTTTCATGGACTCCACCCCCACCCCAGATACTGAAACTACAAATCCTGTCAACCAATCCCGTCAACCAATCCCTCACCAAAGAGAAGCACGCTGGAAGCTGAGGGTGGAGTTAAGCGGTCAGGTTGGGATATAAAACCCGACATGTGGGCTTCGGGGTCTCTTGGCTCTTCATTGTTTTTCAGCGTGCTATTGGGGTTCCAGGTCATCAGAACTGGTAGGATGCATTAATTAACTTATCTCTCTCTCTTTCTCTGAGTTATTCGCTTCCCTTTCCCTTGTAGATAAACCCATTATTAACCTTTTTGTATGTGTGGCTGCAGTAGACACTTAGGCGCACAGGTGAGGACCCACAGTCAGGTTACCCAATTGGGTTACCTTGTAACAGGAAGAATGGTTAAAAAAATGAGTCCTGGAAACGGGAGTCTCCAGCTAATTTATTGCTTGGTCAGTCACTCTGAGACTTACTCTTTTTCTTTGAATCAAATGGGAGTCATGGGGGTGGGTGGGGAGATTCTGAATTGAGAAGAGATAGGGATTGGATTTGTTGTTTAAAGGACCATACTGATTGCTTTGTTGAGAACAGCCTTGGGGGACAGGTCAAGGGTGGAGGTAGCAAGACTGATTACAAAGTGTTTGTAATAATTAAAAAAAAAAA